GGGGCGGGGCGGGGCGGGCTGGAGCCCGACGGCTGTTTCTCACCCTGGTGCGCCGTGGCGGTGCGGGCTCCTCCCACATTACACGTCTACGCGAACATGAGCTGCTCCGGAGCAGAGCGGGCGGCACCTCTCTTCACACACACACACTCATCAGGAAGCGGCGCCGCGGCCGTATCCCGTCGTGAGGACAACTGTTGTAGTGCCAGCTGAGCCTCAATAATGATCAGCGCAACCTGCTGCTCTGGAAATTCAAATGCAGTTTTAACTGAATACACATTTATGGATCATTTATTGATAATGGTTCCATGGCAGGTAGTCTGAGTTGAATGCATATTTGTGTTTCCAGAGTGAGTATACGCTACCGACAAACTTAGGAGAGAGAGAGATAGTGGGGTCTTATGAGCACTGTATGGTTTACGAGTGACGGGAGAGAAGGCGTCGCAAGACACTCTCTTTTCTAAAATTATTATAGCAACATTCAAGTTTTATGTGCCCTACCGAATGTTGTGACCGATCGAACCGCAGCAGCGTCTTTCCCGAACGCGGTGCAGAAGCTTGGCCGCGTCACTCACTGCAGTCAGCGGTACCAGACCAGGGATTGCACAGAGCAATACGCACGAAAATATCACACCCACTGCAGTGCCCTCCGGCCACATAGGCCGGGCCCTCCTCGGGGCCGCCTGCGTCTGCTATTCTTGCATACACACAGTGTCATTACGAATGTCACGGACTGGATGGAGACGGGGAAAGGGAGGGGTTCAGATTGAGCAGAGAAAGAGAGAGAGAGAGAGAGAGAGAGAGAGAGAGAGAGAGAGAGAGAGAGAGAGGGGGGGGGGGGGGGGGGGGGGGGGGGGGGGGCAGAAACAGAGAGGTGCTCCGCGGGGTGAAGAAGTGCCCCGTGGTAATGGCGCGACGGCGCACGCGTGGACTAGTAATAGTGGGTGTTTTTGGACCCGCACCGCTCACTGGCGGCGTTTCATACACCGCCTTGCACGGTAACGACTATTACATTATTGCGCCCCGTTATACGATGCGTTGCATCAACATCGTCGCAACATTAACGGAATTGCTGCTTAAGTGTAAAAACAAAGGACCACAACCAAACCAAAAAAATCCTCCTTTTCCTGGCCTCCTATAGTCCGGTTTGCTTTCCTTCCCCTCTGCTTATTGGTTCATCTCCTCTGGCCGGTCTCACCCCGCTTGCCTCAGGCGCAGTGCACTGTTATTGTATTGTAATTTGGCGCGCCGCCGCCCCCTCACGTCCCGCGAGGCGCCTTCCCAAAAGTCCGCGCAGCTTGCAGGAGGCCAAGGCGGTCCTGAGGCGCCCCCCCTCCCCCCCACTTCCCTCCTTGACCTCTGCGTCGCGGCCGAAGAAATCCCATAAGATACATGTAAAGTGTTTTAATCCATACACTTCGATATTTTGCGGCCGGCAGTGACCGAGCGTGACATTGGCCGACTTCCGAGATCGCGTAGAAAGGGAACGCGCAAACGCATTCTGCACATGACGTCGAGGAGATCCCTCCCACTCCCCCTGCCGCTCGGCATCCTTATAGCAGTTCGGGAAGGACGCCGATGATGCGCACGTCAAGTCCGCGGGCACGGCATTGTCCTCCTCATGGGCAGCTTTTGACGGGGAGTGCGATATGAGACGAACCGGACACAACACGGAAGCGGAAGCAGGCACTGTAAAACGCTGTACTGGAAACGGTATTGGCAGAATATGTCGCACACTTGCAGATGTGTGAATGCCCATTTGTACACTTATAGGGAGTTATTTTCCTTTGAAAATTAAACACTTCATCCAAATCTGACAACTGTATCAGTGGATTTAAATATCTGTATTTATGTCTTAGATATTTTCCTACCCGGTAAATTACAATTATTTTGTGGAACGCCGGGTACCAAAAGATTTCATATCCAGATCACACTGCTGCTTTGTTTTTTGTTAGAGGGTGTCATTTCCTCCCGAACTGCGCGTGCAGGCAGGGGCTGGGCTACTGGGTCGGAAAGGAAATGGGGTATTCTTCGTTATTGGGGGCGACATGTAGTTCTTGACGTTTGTCGCTTTGCACGGCTTTCTAGCTAGCGGGGCGCACGGCAGCGCAGGGCGGGGCAGGGCGGGGCAGGGCGGGGCAGGGCGGGGCAGGGCGGGGCAGGGCGGGGCAGGGCGGGGCAGGGCGAGGCCGGGCGGAGAGGAGCGGAGCGGGGCGGGTGCAATGCAGGGGAGAGGCGAGCGGGCGAGCGTGTGGCATTATTTTAAGGATTTCGCCACCACCACACGTGAGAGAGTGATGCACTCGCAGGAAAAGTTTTGCGCCCCACAATGATAGACATCACAGCGCCGTCGCGAGCGGCCCCCCTTGCCCCCCCCCCCCTCTCACCCCCAATCCCCCTGGGGCTCTTCCGAGATTAGTCAGCCTGTTTAGCAGTGCCGCAGTATGTTTGCCGCCCGCACCATCGCGTCGGACGACGACAACCGCACATCCTCATAACGGCGCGCTCGTCTCTCGTGCGACTCGTGCGCTCGAGTCTCTGCCCCGAGGACGGCGGCCGTCGCGTGTGAGTGTGTCTGTGTGTCCGGGGGGGGGGGGGGGTCAGCGCTTTCGCTGGACGAACAAGAGCGGCGTCAGCGTCACCCAGCGGTGAAAGCCGACGAAGGTCAAGGCGGCCGATCAGAGCGCCCATTAATAATAAAGCCTCAAAGCTAATCGAGTTAGAGGCGTAAACTGCTTCAGACGCATCATCAGTGAAAGGGCCGGGTCCTCTCCGCGCGGGGCACGACGCTTGTGGGAGGGGGAGGGGAGGGGTCTGTTCTTACTCGCATTTCGCAGGCGTTACCTCACTGACCTCCACGGCGCGTCGCGACGCCGAGGCCTCCTCTCCCTGCAACAGTTTTCATTCATCGGGGACACACAAGCAGATGGCTCGTATACGGCCGTCGCATACAATTTTTTCCCCTGCCTCTCTCATGTACGTTTCCATCCAGTTTTTTTTTTTTTTTTTTTTTTTTGCTTCTTCTCGCTACGTCGGTCCTTTTGATACTATAGTGATAGTTTGAAGCCAATAAGTAGTACTTACAAGGCAGATGTTCGCCAGACTAGGAACAGGCTACGCAATATCTTGTGAAAACGTTGAACTACAAATTTTACGAGTTGAATTTTGTCACACAAATTTGTTTGACAGTCCTGGGACGAGCTCAGGCAAGATCAGCAGCCCTGGAGCACCCAGAGCGGCAGCTGAGGCACTGCTCAGCCACCGCCAGCAGTTTTACGATCCTCTCGCGGCGGATTTTTCGCACGTTCTTACGCAGATTCTATCTGGGCGACCTGCTTCCGCGCGGCGCTGCTGAGGGAAGTTCGTTTGTTGCTGCGGGTTGCATGAATGTGATGGACAGAGATAGCGCGTTTGAGCGGCGGGCTCCGCTGGCTGCAGTACTGTAATGAGGCGGGTCACGACGGGAGGTAGTCGCCGCGCGGACTGTACGCTTGAATTTTAAGTGCAGAAATGTCGAACACCTATAGGTTAGTGAAAGATTCATACGATTGCAGGTGTACGAAAGAATTTTGACACACCTTAGGATGTAATAGCAATTAACCATCCACACACTTATTGGAGACGGGTAAATAAATAATTTCATGACTATGAATCTCCATTCGCTCGACTACATGTGTGTGAATATATTGTCGCACACCTGCAGGTGTGTGAGTTTCGTCATTCGGACATTTGTGCACTTGGATTTCCAGTGTACTTGCCGAGACAGCCAGGGTCGGCCGCCGGTGTGAAGCGAGATTGGAAAGCATACACGGGCCGGGAAAAGTATGTTTTACGGGAGCAACTCTCCCCACACTGATTCCGAGCGTAATACCTTACTATTATGAGACACAAAATGTGACTCCGATATCCTTTCGGATTGGCTTGGCAATGCAATTTTACTGCAATATGCCCACTTATTTAAATGATTATCTAATATATATCAGTCCAAATCGGAAAAAAGTACGGTGTTTCTATTTAAAAGAGATACAGCAGCTATCTTCATGCAGGTTGTCTTATAAACCCCATACTAATTTCTTGCTTACCGCATGCAGGCGGCGAGTAGGCACGGGCGGGCTTGCTAAGCAGAGATATGTTTCTTGTTCTTGTTTAAAGTACATTGTGACCCAAGATCAATTTCCTTATCGACACAAGACGATTTTTCATTTGGTGTAAGAAAATCAACTCAATCGAAATATAATAGAATCTCTGTCAAGAGTAACATTAGTTTTGTCTTTCTACGTCTAAGCTGTTTTCTTTGTAAGGTACCTCATTGTGTTGGGATCGTCTAGAAAGTTGGTCCGCATATTGCCGTTACGAAACTGCCAAGTTCAGCAAATGAAAGCTTTCGTCTCGGCTCTCGAAGCGCCTAGTAGGTAGGCAATATCTTGCGTGCAATGCATGCCTGTAATGCGGGGTGGTCTACCCTGAGTATCACAGGCGCCAAGCTCTCCCGGAATGTGCCGAATGAATCTAAGCATAAACGGACGTGTGTAATTTCTCGACGAGGAAGAAAGAACGAGTTTCGTATTTTAGTGTGTCCTCTCCTGAAAACATACAGGCATATGCATTGAAGGTATTCAGTAAAATACTGCGCACACAAACACGCTTGGGTTCCCAGAGTCATTATCAACAGCAAGTTTGAACCCACCATTCACTCAAGTCACACGCTGACAGATGTCACTATGTTGCAAAATGCTTGCAAAGAACATAACGTACAATGTTCTTTCCAACTTAACTTTTGAAGCATAGCAGTACGAGCCAAGAAAAACTATTTCTTTGCAGTACGAACCCATTGTTTACGACGTTTTCTGAAAGCTTACGAACTAATTCTTTTCAACACGAACCAATTATTTTATTATAAGGATCGAAAATTCTTCGCATCTATTTAACAGTGAAGTGAAAACATTTCGTCCTTGCGGATTATAATAAAACTCACGCATAAGGCATAGCACTTTATGACAGCGGTTAGCCATGCCACTGAAGCGCTGCGTGACCCTGCCCTGCGCTAGTGACAGCGATGATCTCTCCCTTCTCTCATGTGAGTCGCACTAACTAGCAGCTCCAAATGTGAATCCATGGATATTGTATGCATATTGCACTCAAGCTACAGGAAACGAATAAGGTCGGCTACCAAGCGTAATTTTACTTTTCAAATTGCCGAGAATAATTTGAATGTGATTCGGCATGAAGCGCGCAGCGTCCGACTGTCACCGGAGCCGGTCGGCCGCATCGCTGTAAACTATTCCATTATCCCATCATGCCGTCTGGTGACCTTTGGTCACACAAGTGAGTCTCACGCCAATAACTGATCTGATTGGGCCTGCCCGACGGTCCTGACCCTTAACCCATAACGCCAGCCCGGCCGATAAGCCGCGAAGGTCAGCCAAAGGTAGCGGCGCCCAGCGCCAGGCGCCAGCAGCGCTTAGGAAGGGGGTAAAATTATTAGGACAGCATGAGCCACAATCAAAGGAAGAGGGGGGGGAGGAAAAAAGTAACTGTGTTTCACGAGCTGATATTATTGATGCATGATTGCGCCAACATGAAACAATCGAGCTAATGTCGAGAAAATATCGAAAAAACAACAAATAATATCGTACAAATATCTGAAATGCGACTATTTCTATTGTCGCTCGATAGCCAGTTTACCATGAGCAAACTATTTTACGACTGTATTATAACTTAAGGACACATTGTTCCCTAAGATTTGTCGAGGATCGGAAAAACAATAAGTTAGCAAATCACAAAAACAAAAGTCATTGTTTTCTGGCATAACGTTCGTAAATTACGACACATACCATAAATGATTTTTAGAGAGTTCCTAGGTATGGGGTAAATAATGCCGTGCAGTATTGTACTGAAATTTACAAACATTTCGTATCGACTTGAAATTAGTTGAAATGCAAGAATATTATGAGCTGCCACAAATATACAACATATTTTGTAAATTTAAATTACGACAACTGTTGTGAATTTGCGAGGATAATTTTCACAGTGGCTAAGGCAAGCGATACCTGTCTCATCTCGTGCCCTCTTCGTTGGCTTGCAGGAGTCGTCGTGGGCCGGCGCCCTCGCGCTGTGGTGCCTCTTTGCAGCTTCCGCTGCCCAAAACCACGTGAGTAGAGGCGGTGGAGGCAGAGCGGCATAGGCCTGTCCGGGCAGTGCGGCCGCCTGTCCCAGTGCCATGCAGCCGCATGGGTATAACACTCAAATAATGTTATTTCCATCCGGTAACTGCCAATGCATTGGTCCGTTCGGCTGCACGATGACTGGGCGGCCGGCTTTCCCCGGCTGTGCCCACTCGCACTGCACAAAGTAGTGGCGCTGATCACACCTCTTGCGAATGTTTCCCCATTGTCACTGATCGGTACAGGGCTCCGCGGGCCAGGACCAGCGGCACCTGTACTACAACCCCGGCGCCGTCGGCCCCGCCCACCCGACGCAGCAGTACGGACACAATGCCGCCTCCTTCCCGTCCGTGTCCAGCTTCAACGACCAGCTGCTGCCCAGCGCAGGTGAGCTGAGCCCGATGGGCTGCCTGGTCGCACGGCGCGGCCCGGTGCGGCCCGGCGCGGCCCAGTGCAGCCCGGCGCCTAGGCTGGCCGTCACTATCTCGTCATCCGAAGGCGATTACGTCAAGCGCGACCGGCCGATGAGATGTAATCCGCGAGGTCGACGACCTGCGCGTGAGTGCACCGCAGCTTGTCGATAAGCGACCTGTCTAACCGATAGCACGTTGGAGTTGCAGAGGTCGGCGACATCACCTCCCCACTCCCCGCCCAAGTCGGCGATGTAGGCCAAGCGTCGACGACCGGCGGCCAGGGGGCGGCCACGGCCACGGCCAACCCCGCCACGACCAAGGCCACCGCCAACGCGCAGCACCAAGGCCTGGCCAGCCACCCGATAGTGGTGGCAAGCTTGCCTGCCGGGGCCACGCCTGCCACCCCAACCACCACAGGCTTCACGACGTCCAGCACCGGGGCACAGTACGGCCAGCAGGGAGCAGTCACAGAACCCAACGGTCAGCAGAGCGCATTTGGTGTACCGAACGGTCAGCAAAGTACATTCGGACTGTTCGGCAGTCAGCAACAGCAGGGTGCGTTCAGCACTCCAAGTAGTCATCAGCAGGAATCTTTCCGAGTAACCGGCGGGCAGCAAAGTACGTTCAGTGCAGCCAGCGACCTGCAAGGTGCGTTCCAGTCGTCTACTCCCAGGGTCAGTGAGACACCCAGCCCAACACTGCAGCCACAGTCGGCGGCTCAGTTCGGAACATACAGCTCAGCCTCGCCAAACGGTTTTGACCGACAACAGCCTGACGAGGTATCAAGTAGGGGCACCGATAGTTCTACACCTGGCTTCACACCTTCCAGCAACACGAGACGTCCATTTAGTGAAACCCCCAACGGGTCTCAACCAGGATCATTCAGAGGGTTCAGTGAAACTCCAACCATTGCTCAGCAGGGTGCGTTCAGTGGGGCGCCAAACATTGCCCAGCAGGGTGCGTACAGTGGGGCGCAAAACATTGCTCAGCAGGGTGCGTTCAGTAGGCAGCCGAACATTGATCAGCAGGGTGGGTTTAGTCGGGCGCCGAACATTGCTCAGCAGGGTGCGTTCAGTGAGGTGCCAAACATCCCTCAGCAGGCTGTGTACAGTGGGGCGCCAAACACTGGCCAGCAGGGTGCGTTCAGTGGGGCACCAAACAATGGTCAGCAGGGTGCGTTCAGTGGGGCACCAAACACTGCTCAGCAGGCTGCGTCCAGTGCGACGCCCAGTGACATTCAGGGCGGGGGCTACAGCGCACCGCCAAGGGGTGCGTTACCCAGCACGGGTGCGTTCGGTTCTCCTTTCGCTCAGCAGGGTCAGGGTGGATTCAGTTCGCCACAGAACGAGTTCCAGCAGGGGCCACCCAGCCCCAGTGCGCTTGCAGCCTTTCAGCCCACCGGCATCATGGCCTCCACGCCCGCACCGTTCGCCGCCGGCACGCCCCCGCAGGCCTCGGCCGGCGGTACGGCCACGGGTGCTTACTGGTTCTCACCGCCCTCCGGCGTGGGCGACTACGACGTGGCTTTCCACTTCGACGGGTCGTCCAACGACCTGTCGTCAGGCCGCGGTCCCTCCCGCCACAACAAGGAGCCGACCAAGAGGATCCCCAGGACCAGTTTCTCCTGCAGAGGGCGCAAGCAAGGGTACTACGCCGACCTGGAGACCGGCTGCCAGGTGAGCAGATATTCCTTTGGATATTCCTCTTGTGCAAATCTAGTTTTGCAACAATCGGCTGCCAATCTTGAAATTTTGTCCTGAAATTTTGGAGTAGAGAGGGCACCTTGGAGTAGCGATATCTACCTAACATATCACATCAAACAGATCTAGTGGCGCGTCTAGGAAAGGCTCCGTAGCACAACAAAAACAAAACACTCTAGGAGCGGTCAGACGCAGTAGTTTGTGCGCAGTGGTCATTCCCCCCGGGCCGCCAAGGTCGTGGCGCCGCGCAGCGGGGCGTTAGCTAACGTTAGAGTTAGCGGCTGGTGAACGACTCGGCTTGGCTGTTCCAGGTCTTCCACATCTGCCAGCACGCGGGCCTCAAGAGCTCCTTCATGTGCCCCGAGGGTTCCGTGTTCAACCAGCAGCTGCTCGTCTGCGACTGGTGGTTCGACACGGTGTGCGAGGCGTCCCCGGAGGCCACCACCTCCGCGACCACCACCACAACCACCACCACCACGACCACCACAACCACCACGCCGTCACCAATCGCCTCGCCGTCGACAGTGTCAGAGGATGGTGGTGAGGACCTCGCCCGCGGCGCGAGCGCGTACCAGCGCTTTCCTGGAGGCATCATTGGCGGCGTGTTTGCTGTCCCCAACGACATCCACGTCTCACAGCCTAGCCCGCTGCGAATCCCTGTCCAGGTACCGACGGACTCGGCGCGCGACCTCAACGACCGGGCGGCGGGCACGACCCCGTCGCTGCCCACCAGCGACGCCAATGCGTCCTCTACAGGATCGTGGATGTACACGACTGGGTGGCATCCATTCACTCATCCTCAGCAGTACTCCCAGTACGAGACGGGGCTACCGACCGGAGCCCCACAGGTTGTCCCGCAGGGTTTCCCACAGGATTTCACGAAGGGTGCTGAATATGGTGGGCAACAAGGTGTCGAACAGGGCGTCCAACAGGGTGTCCCCCAGGATGTCCAACAGGGTGGACAGCAGGGCATCCAACAGGGTGTTCCCCAGGGTGCACAACAGGGTGTCCAACAGAATGTCCAACAGGGTGTCCAACAGGTTGCCCCACAGCACATCCAGCCCCAGATGCAGCACCCGACCACACCCAACCAAGCGCAGTACCTAGCGCTGGCCACCCTGTCTTCCCAGCACCACGTCGAATACCAGCAGCAACCCTCCACACCCACGTCCAGCCCAACCGCTGCCCAGCCCACGACCACACACCGCGCAGACGACCACAGCGTCAGCCAGCCCAAGGAGGGCGCGCTCGAGGTCGACCTGCTGCCGCCCTTCCTGGACCCGCCCGGTGACAACAGCCTGTCGCCCGCACCCATTGGCTATGCCGTGACCCCGGGCTACTCGTCCATATCCACAAACAGGCCGCCGTACTCTAGGCACGACGCAGACGAGAACGCTATCACCGAGAATAAGGCCCCCGGGATCCTGCTTGCGCACGTCGAGGCCGCGAAGGAGACCTACGACACGACAGTCAGGTCGCTCGAGCAGAACGTCACTGCGTCCTCACTCGGTAGCAGCAGGGCGCCGCAGCAGCAGCCTAGCACCACGCCGTCGACACCCTCCACTGAGATACAGATCAACCTCGCCAGCTATAGTGGCAGACAAATTCCGTTCGGAGTGAGAATCCGCAACCTCAAGAGAAGACACAGAGGTCACTGAGGTTGAAAGGTCGGGGGGTTGAGTTTGGACATTTCACGAGCGTTATGGCAATTGGGGCCTCTCGTTCGGCACACACTAACGCCGTATTTGGTTTCAGTCTAGAAAGAAACGCAGGAAACGGTGTGGTTGAACTTAATTGTAGCCTCCAAATGCAGGATGAATTAGCCGGAAATTTAATTGTACCACCCCAAAGTAAGGGCTTTTAGTATACGGTTAACCCAGATCCTTTGAGGCCACGCTTAGTTTAAATTAGCCCTAAATTACACTGTTTCCGTGTGATGGTGTGAATTTGTCAGCCAAGTGTATTCAAGTTGTAACATGGAAAACTGCAAATCGACAAATGGGATATACAATATCGCATTCGGAGCTACTCGTTGTTTCTAAAGGTGACAGTCATGTTGGGCGAGCGATGTCTCGTCAATAAAGTATGTGCCAATGTGTATAGAGATAAGTTAAATTGTATTGCACTTGTTATCATTGAGACATGCAGTTTTTTTTATTTTGAATGAATGTAAAAGAAGATGTAGGCATAAATAGCTTTGTATATACTACGACGATATTGTAATATTATTTTATTTTGACGCCATTGAGGCGTATATGAAGCCTGATTACAAGAATAAAGAAAAATCTGTGATTCCAGTAACTCTTGACAAAATATCACATTTTCTTCTCATTGAGACAAAACATTTTTTTTAAAGACCGTATGGAAACAATCTTTAAATTTGTAAGTGCGCTCAGGTCATGGTCTACAATATCGTCCCGTCTGCTGCAATCGTTCTTTGCGGTTCTTTGTTGCACTGAACGTCCGACTGTATAACCAAGGCGTCTGTCCGCTCATCCTCGGCCATGCGCCATGCCGCAGCGCCCAACGGCACGTGCAGGTAATGAAGACTCCCCCCCCAACTCCACCCCACGACACTGGACTTGTTTCCCTTTCCTTTTCAGTTTGTTTCTGAGTGAGAGTGACAATGATAACAGTTCCGGTCATCCTTCCCTTCAGCCCGGAGAGCGCCAATCATCGGAGCACACTAGTGTGGGAAGTCTCGACTGCAGTCAATACAGCACAAACAACCTTGCGCACACATGTAAAAAGAAAAGGAAAAACTACTTCGGGTCAAGGTTGGAGAATTAAAGCGCACTCGGTGCCGAACTATGAACTATTAAATTAGACATATAAAATTAGAAATCTACGTAGCTACGCTTTAAGAGAACTTTATTGTGTACTTAAAACCCAATGGCTCACTCAATTCAATTGTTAATTATCCTCTTCGGTAAAGCATAGGGTAAAGAAAAAGAAGGGTAAGAAATCCATTCGGTTTTCGATATAATTGTCGGAAAATAACGGTTCTTTTCGTGCGAGCTGACTCATTTGTGAAAATTGTGCAGTGACTACGTCCTTACTTCACAATTCACTATTGAGCTTTATATTTTTGCTTTAAAATAAAAAAATAATTCACTTGACCAACACGTGTTCCAGGATGAATGCACCCGACGCAAGTTCACAGCCTCTGAGATGTACTGTACTGCGTCTCCACGTGATAGAGTCATTACTGCAGCGTGCAGCAGCGCCACGTGCCGCGGCCACACCTGCCGAGGGAATCGCATCGGGTCACAGACCTCTCTAAGGAGAGGAGGCAACGGTCATTTCAACAAAAAACTATTTGTTTGTCTGTCCAATCGATTGCTCGGAAACTCGCTGATATGCAAACGGGAAATTTTCAAGGTCGCAATTACCAAAAATCTCGTGTGTACAATGCATAAAGGCAATGAATGCAATGCTCGATGCAATGTATTGATAATAACTTTAGATGAAAATGAGAATATTGTGGCTATGTGTTTTTACGATACTATCTCGAAATTTTCATGAAAGTGCATGTACTGCATGACGCGAAAATTCCGTGATAAGCAGAATTATTGTGAAAATAATTAGTGTGGGATTATTCTGAAAACTGAAATTTAAAAAAAAAACTGAAAACTCAAGCGCGCCGGTTTCTGGGAGCGAGCCTCCTGGGCCATACATCACTAAGCCCAGATAAGTTGAAGCCAGCTAGGTCTCCTGGATATCACAGGAATCTTATAAATGTAGGGCGGCGCGCGTAGGTCGTTTTGTCGCAACGTGGTTTCGCGAGATAAAGCCTCCGTTACACGAGAAGGACGTTGCCTGAACCACTCACATCCCGCCCCCGCGGCGCTAGACAAAGAATACTGTAAACTTCGTTTCGTACGAATTTGAGCGCAAACATAAACACAAACGATTTCGTACAAACAAATGCATAAAACAGTTCCAATTAACGCAGAAAATGTGTGCCGAAATTTTGATTGCTTACACCCGTAAGCAATCACCCGAATAAAAGATAAAGATCCATTTAGTTTGAACATGAAAGGCCAACTATTTCAGTCAACGCCGAAGGGGAGGTTTTTGTCTGCGACTGCAACACTTTGCATAGTCGATGAGCGGCCGTTCACCTCCGCCAAAGCCTTCCCTGACGGAAGCAGCGTCTCCGCGGAAAGTGAACAATCGTCACGTCTGCACTGAAGACCCCGTGGCAGGGCCTTGTGCAAGGTCGACCGTGCCAGCCGGACCCGGGCTGCCGAACTGAAGCAAACGGCTGGCTCCTGCACTTCTCGTGTGTGTGTGTGTGGGGGGGGGGGGGGGGGGGCGTATGTGAGCGTGTGTGTGTGCGTGCCCGCAACACCCGCAGCATCTCGCGGGTCCAAGAGCACGACTGCTAATGAATCGCCATTCACCGCATCCCTTTCTCTGGTTTCTTTCATTTGTCGTGCGCAAATCCTTTGTCCACACCTTCGGAGTGTGACGGGGAAAAAGACAGAGAGAGACAGAGAGATGCCTAGTAAGTTGAGCATGCGCAGAGCGGCGCACTATCGCCGGCGGCGGTCGTTTAAAACCGACGCCCCTCCGCGCGCAAATGTATTGCCGTGCGCAAATCTTGAGCGCCGCGGTGTGCGAGAGTGGGGCGGGCCCGCGAGCAGTTCCGTGCAGTGTCCCGCTGCCGACCGGACCGCAGCGCCGCGCTCAGAGCGCCAGGACCCGCGAGGACCCACGTCACGGCTAACAAGGGTGAGTCGAGAGTGAGGGGGCAAACCACCATTCCTCATTGTGTGCAACAGGATATACTTCCCAAATCATTTTGAGTCTACCAGCAATCATAAAATCACGCTCCATCTACCAATACACTGTAAAACGCTGGCAACTGGAAAATCTTTGCATCGTTACAAAGATTTTTTTTAGGATTTGTATTGCCAATAATTAGTTCTACTGCAAAGAAATTTTTTGCAAGCTGCTGTCAGAATCCTTGCTAACTATCTGTTCGCATTGAAAAGAAATAGTTTGCAAACATGCCAAGAACTAGCTGGTATTACAATACTGCAGAATTCATTGCAAGCTGCAAAGAAAATACGAACATATTCTTTGCGAGCATTTAGTAGTGTGCATTTTAGCCTGAAATCCCCTTAAATTTTATGTAACATCCACTAAAACGTTTTTGAAAGCTTCTAAAATCAGGAATTTATTAGTCATAATCTGCTAGCAGGATACACTGTTATTCAAATACTGTGACATCACATTCTATTTAGTGTGAATTGTGTCACATTATTTAGAATATCACGTCACAGTCCTTGTGACATACCCCTTCATGGCTCTGCCTTCACAGGTTCAGTGCATGATAGGCGTACCTAGGTCACGGTATAACGAGTGTGACATGATATTCTAAATAATGTGGCACAATTCACATTATAAAGAATGTGACGTAACAGTATTTGAATGACAGTGAGAATAAGAGTACAGGCCACTGCCACTTTCGCGCACTTTCGGTTCTTGGACAAAAGTTCACGGTTAACCGTTAACACCTTACAAAGAAAAATGCCAAATTCTTAGTATATAGGAAGGATTTGGCATTTTTCTTCGTAACGTTATAACAGTGTGAGAATTATTCTAAAAAAACGTTCAAAAATTCTTAATGAGAACATTCGCTAAGAGTTCCAGACACACTGTAACGCAAAATTGGTTTCAAGATAGAAAAAAAAACGAGCTTGTTTAACATGAGTAAGATATGAATACGATGTTTCATCTAACCTTCGTGGAATTAATTCGCCATCATTTCTACGTAGGTTTGTCCGTAGGTTCAGGGGGGAGTGACGTATCGAAATTAAAAACACTAGTACCCTCTGTTTTCAAACGGTTCATTAATACTAAGTAGGAACCCAAATATTGCTGCAATACAACATCGTGAGTAGGCTAAGTCTGGCTGTCCACAATGGCTGGACCCAATGACACGCCGGGTGGCGGGCGCATCTGCTGGTAGCGCAGTGGCGCTAGAGAGTCTTTGGAACAAGTGGCCTTGAGCTTGGTTCTAGCACCGAGCGTGAAAACGGGGGGGGGGGGCAGCGGAATGCGACACTGGGTGCAGAGAGAGAGAGAGAGAGAGAGAGGGGGGGGGGGGAGTACCACCTGAGCCAAGCGAAACAGTTATTATGAACAGGAAAGAAAAGGAAACTATCTGCTTACCCGTTTCTTGCCGATAACAGGTCCCGATTTTTAAGACTGTAGCGCCTATTGAGGCGGCGCTGCTGCGCTGCATCTGGTTGTGAGGCTGCGCGTCCAGTTCCTGAAAAGTAGATCGCTTCATTAGGCAAGTTTCGGCAATAACGGACCCAGACGTGAATTACTTGTCGATCTTGTGTAACGTTTTTCTGTGGTAGCAGAAAGTCTTCTGATGCACTGTAAATGTGGGAGTCATCTTTCTCGACCTACTTCAGTGATGTGTTTTTACATTAACCAAATAGAGCGGCCTAGCTTTGCATCACTCATTAAAAGTGATACGGATGCATCTGTTTTACGAAAACATTGCTCAATTCGAGTCATCTCGGCCAAGATCACTCTTATAAAGTCATCTCAATGCCCAGTGAATGACAGTAAAGTAAAACCGCTCTCCCGGATCCATCAACGCTCACTCCTTTACTTTTCGTGTGGCCATAAGAGCGGTTGCTTTAAGTGGGAGCATATTATCTTTCACACGTTTTTCTACCTCCAACAAATATGTGCATGATCGCTGTTGTCATAGTGAGGCGTCAATGCTTCACACGGACTGCATCTGCAATCTCTATGGATATAGTGCCTGCACTGTTAAATCATCCTATCCTATCAACCATCTCCACCTTTCTTGCAAGGTCAGCAAAAATTTAGTTTGACCACAACCTTCCGGCGAGGTGTGTGATTTGGGCCGCCTTTCTTTTACTGCATAGGGTCCAGGCGTGCGGGTGGGCCTATCGTCTAGCGAGTATGCAACCCACCGGCACACTTGCATCCGGTACCAAAGCAGTATCGCTAGAACAGAAAAGACGCCGCAGCTCACACACCATGTGTACTCTCCACCCAGGATGGCGTCCGACACGATGGTGCAGCTCCAGCAGCAGGGCGCGCTGGAGGGCGTGACGGAGCAGGCCCAGCTGGAGGAGCTCGACCTCGCCTTCTACCAGGGGACGCTGCGGAAGGCCGAGGGCGACGGCGACCTGCGCCTGCACGGGCTGGACGTGCGTCCAGGGTGCAAGGTGGGGGACAACTTCTCGAGCATCGTGACGAGGAACACCGCCCGGGGCGTGCGCGGCAACGGGACCGGTGAGGACTCTGGGGACGCCCGAGGGGTAGGCCGCCCAGCTCACTCCGAGCCGGCTGGGCGGCCTACTCCGCAGGGACTGCGATCCCTCCACAGCGCTGCATCAGAAACACAAGAGTGTGAATGTCGCACACTTGTAGGTGTGTGGGTAATGTTCGTTCACATGGAGGCAAAAGTGTGATAATTTCACATTTTAATTTCCTTAAATGTACATGAGAACAACCACACACCTACAAGTGAGTGACATTACATTCACACACTTCAAATATGTGACATTACATAAACACACGTGTGCGCTTGTGTTCTACCAGGCTTCCAGCGCAGCGTGATTGTGAAGCGCGCGCCGGACCGCGACAGATTCCGCTGCCTGGCGGCGTTCGCCAAGGAGACGGAGGCGTACTCGGTTCTGGTGCCCGCGCTGGCGCGCGCTGTCTCCTGGAGCCGTCTGCCGCTGCCGCGCTGCCTGCACGCCTCCGAGACCGAGCGGCCGGACCACATTGTCCTGGAGGACCTGGCCGCCGAAGGGTTCGCGATGCCGCCCCGCGGCCGTGAGCTGGATCAGGCACACGCCGCGCTCGTGCTCCGTGCACTGGGCCGCTTCCACGGCGCCTCCCTCGCGCTGCGCTACGCCGACCCCGCCACCTTCCACCGGCTGCGCGCCGACACGGCCGAGCTCATCTTCTTCCCCGAGGCCGAGGCCGTGTTTTCGTCCACCCTGGGTGCCGCCGCTTCCCTGGCCGTGCTCAGCCTCAAGCGCTCGGGCCGCGCCGACCTCGGCCGACGGCTTACCGCGCGCGCCGCCGCGCCGGGCATCTTCCGGGAGATGTGCGACGCCGTGCTGCCACCCACGGACGATGGAGAGGTGCCGGCCGTGTTCACGCACGGTGACTGCTGGGCCAACAACCTGCTCTTCAGATACAAGGTAAATTCATCACTAAACTTTACCGCGGTGCAGGTTCGAATCTACACATGCTAAGTAATGCAGCATGTTGATCCTTGCTGGCCAGGACGGGCATCCGTGCGAGACCAAGCTCATCGACCTGGCGGGCATCCGCTGCTCGTCGCCCGCCCTGGACCTGCTACACTTCTTGTACACGAGTGTGTCGAGGGAAGTGCGTACCGTGCATCGCCAACAACTTCTGGACGAGTATCTTGACTCGCTGCGTGAGACGCTGCAGGAGACGGCCGGAACGAACCCAGGTGCGACCACATACGAATGTGGATATCGTTTTCTTCCATTCTTTAACATTACGCCAGGATTGAAAATATATCTGCATCTCCCTCCCCCAGCTGTTGACCAGCACACAACGAGCACGATCGTGGCGACAGGTATTCCCTTGACCAGGGCACAGCTGGAAGTGGAAATGCGGAGGCGCGCGCCGTTCGGCCTTTGGATGGGGCTGTGGATGCTGCCCGCCATCTTCTTCAGCCCCAGCCTTCTGCCCAAGGGTCCGGGGCCGGTCGACTACTACTCGCAGGCGACGCAGGCGCACCTGTGTGCCGCCCTGCCCAAGGAGTTTCACCAACGCGTACTTCACCTGGTAGAAGAGCACGCAGAGATCGGCGCCCTCGAGAACGAATCCAGGGAAGCCTGAACGCCTTATCCCCGACAAATCTGCATGGAAACGGGAGGTTTTGGTTTTAGTCGGAGTATGCAATTGAGTGAGTGACGAAAGCTCCACCCAAAGCAGCCATCTATTGATAGATACTAGTCATGTTGGCGTTACTGTATTAGTGGATTCTAATAGCATGACTAGACTTGTAAAATTGTAAAAATTATTCGTCTCATTTAAAAAGGGACCTTTTTCACAAAGTGTAAGCGAGAATTGGTCTCGCAACGTTTACCAAGTTACCATTTGAATTCGTAAAGTTACGCATCTCAAAACGTGTATTGTATTTTCCTATGGGAACTATTCAGTTACCATTTTGAATAGTCAAATAGGATTCGCAACTTTAAAGTTTGTACATATTTCTCAGAGCAGCTGAGACAGCTCAAAACTTTTTCGTACGTACACACCAAATTTTTCTGAACTTTTCGATTGATGGCTGACTGTTAACATGCTCACCCTACGGATTGTTTATTACGCACGTATGAACAATTTCTGAACGAATCTGTTAGGGTCGTTTATACTAGCCATTTCATACAGGGGCACGAGCGTAACGGGGGTCTGCCCTACCACTTGTTACGTGCCCATGCCCACGCATCGGCACTGTGTTGGGAGCTCTACCTGAATCAGATTTCCAGGGAGAAAAACACACAAAATATTTTTTTTTAATATTTGTACAGTCACCAATCTTTCTGGTGGTCAACGGATATTTCTGTGGGGCGCATATTAATGCAACCACACCGAGAACATAGTTTCAGTAAGGTACCGGATGGTCAAAGCGATCACCTCAGTCCTCAGTGTTCCGGGTTTGCATACCGTCCCGTACAACAAAACAGCCGATGATCAACGTACGATAACTCCTATATGCACAACAGCTGAGTTTTCTTAGTTTTATTTACATTGGGATTTTTTTTCATTAGTGCTTCGTTTCGCAGATAACACAGAGTGTTAACGTTTGTTTCTTACTGGCGTATTAAAAATATGCAGTCTGAGCATGTACCAGGACCAGTTGGCTGGCTCACGCCTCGCACTTTTGTAGTTACACTCTGTACCGCATGCACGGGTGCGAGCGGGTTTGCCTATCCTCTCTGCCCATGGCTCCTTACGGCCCCGTGCGAGTAGGTAACCCACCCGCACGCGTGCATGCTGTACAGTATACTTATTTAAGTGCGCGGCGTGAGTCTGCTACCTAGAAGAAATCAGTAAGCCATGAAATAATGAATTAAAAAGTTCATAAGATTGTAATCATTTTAGTGGGTATACACTTATGATGTGTATACTTTTGTATCCCGTGAAGAAAATCATCAGAGTTCTTGCTGGTTCATTACAATATAGGTGAATTTGCAGACATATGCAGACATACCCCGCTTGCCCCCCTGTTTAACAAATCCTCTTAAAACTACAATTTTTTACTGCTGTATAGCCTGAAAACTGGGAATTAAACGAATAGCAGTGGAATCAACCAATGCCACCTCGAAGTTCGTTGTTCCGATTCGGCAAGAAAGCAATGCTCTCGCATTTATCATTACGGCGGCATTAAATACAGTAATGTAACACAAGCCGATCGCCATCACTCCCGGCGCGCCCTTCGCCTTTCACGCCCTGCCAGGGTTATCGCGGCGACGAGAGGATGAATCGTTGCCAACATTTTCTTCAAGTTTGGTACAAGTTAAACAGTGTCAACAATGCTGTAAAAAAAGGACCAAAGTCCATGCAAGAAACAAAATTCGAAGCCCAGTTACTTTTATAGCACTGGGGCAAAACTTTTATTTGTATAGACTCAGCATTTTTTTCACTGCGTAGAGTGCAGTTCTCTTCAGCCTTTCATAGGACTAGGAAAAGTTCTTATCTTTTCTCGTCGAGAATGTACATTCTTTCAGTACTTGCATTATTCCGGGAGAGCTGGGCGCCTGCGATACTCAGGGTAGCCCATCCCGCAGTACACGCATACACTGCAGGCAAGATTTTGCCTACCTATCAGGCGCTATGAGAGCTTGGATTGGCTATACTTGGCTGTTTTTTTGTTTTTGTTTTGTTTTTTATGAATCCACGACAATACGGGAATTTAAGTTACAGAATTAGTGTATTTCTGAGCAAAACATTCATATTGAGTTTTATGTATTCCTTGTTTTTGCACGGCTTGACTTCCCTAAGTGATAATTGCCCGTTTTCTTTATGAAATCCCAAGAATTTCTTGGGATTTCATAAAGAAAACGGGCAAATTTTTTCCTATGTAACACGACACGTGATGACCAGTTTGTGTACACTTAAACGACCTACGATCCGGAGGAGTCCTTGCACTTGTTTGGAAAACGGGAGTCGGCGAAAATAATAAATCCTGAGTGATCTCGAAAAACTGATCGTAATTATGATCTTAATTAGAAGCGGTGCTCCTGACCCTGATAGTGATCCCCGTCCGGCCCTGCTGGTGGGAAGGTGACACCCGGACGAGCAGGCAGATGGACGAGATAAAGGTTAAGGCCCGTTTACCGAGGAAGAAATCAGCGACCTAAACTTTTACCTTGACCGGACCCGATGCAGCTCAGGCGTATGTCGTGTCAGTGAATTCGGCAGAGCTCTTCACGTTCGCGACGAGGCGGTGATGATACATTTGAACTGACCTCCATGATGGAGGTACACCAATTGTTTCGCAATAGCGCAGAGAAGTAATATTTCGGACACACAATACGGACCAAGAGCTTGCTAAAAAAGGGGGGGGCGTTGTTGCACTGTTTACCTGGGAACATAATGGGAATATATCGGACGAATGAGGTGTCCAGTGTTTTTAACACCAGGCTATGTCCCTGCACTGGGTGCCTTGCGCTGTGGTGATAACTAGGTACCACCAACGACTCATCCCTTACTTAAACGCACAGGGATGTGGGACGTCCCTACCACTTATACCGTCCATACCCCTTTGCAGCAGAATACTGGGGTCTGTTCATTAGGTCGACGGAGCTTGTCCCTACTTAAAGGCGCTCGTCGAAGAGCTAGAGCTGCGAAGATGAAACAACCTAACCCGAATCACTGAGCTCTGAACTACTCCCAACCCCCAGCGAGAACATCGATTTAACTAGTGGCGGAAGAGTCCCGCCTTGAATGGAACAACAGCCTCTGCAGGGTGGGTTTTTGATCAGCTGTGCTTTTTCCTGATTACTGTACCGCGAGCAGGCTGGCGGGCGGGATTGACTACCGACCTTCACCACGGCGCCTTATGGCACCGTGTGAGTATGCAACCTGTGTTATCTGCATGTGTACAGTATAATCGGAAAACAGAACGCACCTTAGAGTACCCGCCAGCACGTAAAAGGGATCCGGATATCAATTGATAGGTTCTTTAGCCCTTCCCCTCTTGCAGGCGATGTGCTTAATAGGTACCCCCTAGGTGTTGAGGAACTGTGCGCACAAAGACGCATAGAAGAAACCTGGATCACGCGACTTATGTCGTACAAATACTGCACACCCTAGATTTACATTCTTGCTCCAGAATTTCCTCAAATTTGTCGCAATAATTTGCGCCACGTGCAACACGATCGCAACGCAGCCTCGCGAGCGCCAGGAGTTCCACCAGGCTCCCGACAAAACAATCCAAGCACACGCAACACGATGCGCCCGCCCACCCGCCTAGCGGCGCCTAGCACACAAAAGCCGTCGTGCAATTATCGAGGCATTGACACCCTTCTCCTCTCCAAAGTAGTAAGTATGGTCCACTGGCAAATAACAGGTCCAGCACGTGCGCCCCAAGGTCCGGCTGACCAGGGAGCCGCGCGAGTGACCCCAACCTCAAAGGTCCGGCCGACCCGGCCGACCCAGCCGCACACAGCCTCCAGCAAAAACACAACGAGCTCGGATGTATTGCCTTATTTTGATAATTACACGTATTGGATCTCTTCTATAGACGCCTTACAAACATAGCAGGGCAACTAGTAACTATGCCCGACCACTTCAAAGTAGTTACTAAACGGCCGACGGCGATGAGGGCGATGACAACGAAAACATAAAACGTGCAATTTCCATAAAATTTCACAGTTTTGCGCGATCGGTGTCTGAAAGTCCTCCAACGGTCCTTGTGGGTGACACAACGTGTGAAGGGGCTCCTCTTCTCATCATGCATGGACCATCAACCAGATTATTCCACACCTTCATTAACACATGACGTCACGATCACACTAAATAATTTGGCGTCTCGAATATACAAACTAAACCAAAAGCGATCAAAGCGTGGGCGTGTAAGTCGTTGCCCTCTTCTTGCACAGGTAACTTGCAACAGCCAGAAAAATACGAATACCACTCCTCGGAAGTCGCAAAAAGGACTGTGCCGAAGGCCGGTACTCCGGCCTCGGTCCTCTGTCAAAAATCAAAACAAGCGTCTTTTTAATATCTTCTTGAACAGGATGATGCTGACGACACTGCAGCGTCCATTGAAATGAGCGACATTCATTTAGACTAATCCTCTGTGTGACACTGCGTCCAACAGTTGACATTCGAGGCTGATGAGGGGCCACGGCTGGCCGTGAGTTTGAAGAGCGCGCCTCGGAGCCTGCGCAGCACGCCGTCGGACAAGCCAGGCGTCATTCCTCATCTCAGACGCGTCTGTAACAGCCTCTAGTCTCCTCTGCATCCTTCCCCTGAAGTTGATGCTACCATTTTCACGCTCTTGGTCTTATTAAGGTATGACACAGGCCTGTAAAACAAAGATAAACGTGGAACACGAAATTCATGTTGTTTTCAGGAATAAACTACTTCAACAATAATTATCATCTTGATAAATTAGCATATGCTGGTGCAAAAACACTAGTTAAAAAGTATACTTAAGCTTTACAGGCACACTAGATAAACAGTGTGAGTCCGTCTGTTATCTCCGAGATGGCTGCTCCAATTGAAAATACACGACGCAGCATTAACATCTTCCACCCAACACGTCGTAAGTTTATAAGTATGACATTTTCCCGCAACTGTCCGACCCTGACAATACACAATTAACATGCAATGCCCCGTCTAAGGTCCCGTACGCTCACCCCCATCGGATAGGGAAACATATTTGCCGTGAATTATGGGTACTTTTTGACGTAAGGTCAGAAACAGGCAATACGCAGTGCTCTACTCGCATTGTCTTCCGCCAATGTGACTTCTATGTGCCCGCCATGAAATTTTATTGCTCAGTGGATGCTGGACCTCAAACACTGCACTTTGCGACAGTCGAAATCGAAGAGTGCAGAAGGTGTTTGCTAAACAGACACTCCTCTCATTTAGAGCATGAGCTGAATTCACTTAACCATACACATATAAAAGACGTTTCACCACCCGCGTGGTGCTTACCGACGCCGCGCCGCCTTATTGCTGGCGCTTCAGCCCTTTTGATCCGTCCGCACAATTAACCCTTTTGCCGTGTCGTAATGGCAGTGCCCCGAAATGTATGGGCAAAGATACAGAGTACACCGCAAACAAACCATACTAAAAGAAACAGGGTGCCTTTTCTTTAAAATGTTTTAAGTCAATACAATTTTATGAACTTCTTTTACACGTCCCGTTCCTGTGTATTGTTTTGCAAAGTACCACAAGCGCCGATGGTAAAAATTAAATAGCTAAACACACTAGTCCGAAAATTGATGGCATGCAATCTTAGTTCCTTTACAAAGAAATAATCCTTCAAATTACGTACAATTCATTCTGCATATTATTGTTTTCCAAAAGAAACTAATTAGTTATACTGGTTCTACTGGTCTAACTTCAGCTAGTCTTTTTGTTTGTGGAAGCGCATCTAGCATCTGACTAGACGATCAGCCCTGCACCGAAGAATATGAGAGGAATCTGGGTCCTCTCCTGCTGACCCTGAAGGTTGGGTTATGCGTGCAGCAGCTGGGACTGTGTTGCCTCCAGCGGCGTGCAGCATGCTGGGGGTGAGTAGCGCACACGCGCTCGCACACTCACACTCACACTCACACACACACACACACACACACACACACACACACACACACACACACACACACATGACTTGACGGGCGCATCTTGACTTGTAATGGGTAGTCAGAGCAGAGCTGGCCATTATCACACTCTGCTGTAACCGGAGTGTCCTTTGGGCCGAGCACATCGCTCCTCCCGTCCGCAATTATAAGGAGTTGCGG